GTAGATAAAAATGTGATTAGTTCGAAACCAATTTCGGTAACTTAATGAATCAAATAAATTTAAATTCAATTAAGCTGTCTGAACGATTTTTATTGTATGTAGTCCGAAGCTCCGAACGAGGTCAATTAAAATATGATTAAAATATTCGGCCAAAGACACCATCTATTCTATCACTTCTATCACACCTACCACTGATTAAGGATCAAATTTTAATTACGTTGTCACCCCTGAGGCTAACATAGAATGTCTTGTTACCAGTAAAAATAGTATCCGGTTCACTACACTCACCATACGAATTATAGCAGCATAAAGCTATTATTTGACGCTGATTTTCTATGAGAGCTAGGGGAAAGGTCCACCATTCGTGCTGCAACCATAAAATGTTGCATGCTGCAACGAGGCTCTACCACCTCTATTTAAAGGCAGGGCTCCAGCATGATATTGCTTTCTGGAAAGGCTTTGAGTAGTACTAATATAGACTATCGCTTCGTACCTAACTTTGGTTAGTTTAGGACCAAGGAAGACAAGGATAGCAAGCTAAGCGCGTACAAGAAAGCATCACATTCGTTTGTTGCACGTTAAAGTTGAGCTGTTTAAAGGTGATGTACGTATGTTTATTATTATGGTGATTGTCAATCAAAACAAATAAATCAGTTATATAATTTTATTTATTACGATACGTAAACGCATCATAAAGAAAGTTATTTCGGTTGATCATCGTTACTCGACTTCTAATTATTTACACATTTTGGGTGAAATTATATTCTTATTTACAAGTTGCATAACAGCAACAAAATTTAAAAGTTCCTTTAAAAAAATTAATTAACTTACAGTCTTACCGTCCACTAAATGGTAAATGGGTACCTGCAATAATCTTTAAACAAAGAAGGCTACACATGCGTTGCTAACCCATAAAGGTAGACTAAGATAGAATTCCTCACAGTCTCTAATTTTGCTGTCTTTATACCCTTCAGAACGAATAACAGAAGTTCACGCACTACTGCTTTGCACCATAAATAGGTAGGCATTTGATATACCAGATAGTAGATATATCTCCACGCTTCTAAGGTCCTTTAAATGCATTTCTCCTGTTGTATTGCGTATATATGGAAGTGAGGTGTATTTGTTTCGCATGTCTCGAAAATAAATAAGTTTGACATCTCCAAAGTGAATAAGTAGTGAATACTTATGTGTTAAAATCGATTTTTAGTAGTTTTAAATCGATTTACAACTAGACACGTAATGGGAAGTCGATAGTTATAGTCGGTAAAGCAGACCGAATCGAACGCGTTAATTTTGAATATATGTTTACGATTTATGTATTTATGATATTTATACGTGGTAGAGCCACGCGGCAGTGCAGGGCAGTGTCGCACGGATGGGCCGGCTCGAACCGGGGTGGTACCACGACCTCACAGAAAACCAGCGTGATGTAGAGGTTTACCTCTGCGTTTCGCTTGGTGAGTGCAGGTGGCCGCAGGCCCTTTTTACTGGAAATGAGGCATTCCATCTTAGTCCTCACGGGTGATAACGCATCTACATTTTGATTTGTAATAGAGGATGGATGTAGATGTCTATGGGCCGCAGCAACCACTTATCATCAGGTGGACTGTGTGCTCGTTTGTCACCCTTATCCTATAAAAAAAAATCGGAGTGTGATACAAAAATACTTGTTCCATTATTATTGCACAAAGAGTCCATTTATGCTCATGAGCTTAATGCAGTAAATGTGAACCACATACGTTATTTCGAGCGCGTGTGACCCGACCTTCGGCCCTATCGCGCACAAGGCCGTTGCAACTTGCAACAGTGACTAAAATTATTGAATTTAAAAAAGCGACCGGTTACAGTGTTGTCGCTTTTCCAATTGCAGTGATATTCAACCAATGAACAGACAGGCAAATTTTAATTATTGCTCCTTACTTCAGATATTCGTGACAGCTTAGAGGTAGGCGCTCGCACTAATTAATGTTTGCACAACCTGAGTTTGATTCCCGTCGACGTGAGACTGAGTTTGATTCGAGTCCACCTGATGGTAAGTGGATGCTGTGTGTTTATCCCTTTATACTCCCTTAAGTACTGATTTATCACACGCTCTGTCGCGAAGAACATCACGAGGAAAGCTGTTTGTCTATGAAATATTTAAAAAGAACAAAACAAAAAAGCAGCTAGCCTCAGTATTCGACAGGACAGATTTAGAACTGTACAAGAAAAATGCAAGGCAATTATTGTCAGTCGTTCTTTTTACCTCATCGTCTTTCATTACTTTCTTATTGGCACAAAGCGCATGCAAACCAAACAATTAGCTTCGCCGTTCGTAATGCATTACGCAAGAAATGGAATAATTTGCCAGCATTTGTATTTTTATTAGATTATTATTGTAACGTGGCTGTCTTCAAGTTCAAGGCAAGAGTGAATAGTTTTTTATCAATTTCAGCTACGTACGTAAGGAGTGTTACTATCAAGTGTCGATAGTATTCAAGTACTGGCTTTTAATAGATAAAAAGTCTGTTTTTTCGCCTTCATTCGGATTAACTTTCGTCGAAATATTTTTTTATGTATGTTCAGCGATAAATCTTTATCAACGTTGTAAGAAAGGGTGGTCACATATACAATTGGTCAAGATGTGATCTGATGGGATCCATAATAAAAACATAATATTCTTCAATTAATCATTTCTTTTTTATAGTATAAGAGTGACAAACGAGCACACAGTCCACCTGATGGTAAGTGGTTGCTGTGGCCCATAGACATCTTCATCTATCCACTTCTTCGAATCAAAGTGCAGATGCGTTGTCAGCTTTGTGGACTAAGATGGAATGCCTCGTTTCCAGTAAAAAGGGTTTCCGATTCTACACTCACCATACGAAACACATTAGCTTTAAGTTGCTATTTTACGCTGGTATTCTGTGAGAGCGTGGTCCTTCCCCGGTCGAGCCGACCCATTCGTGCTACAACTATACTATTCATTATCACTGCAGCATGGCACTATCACTTATAACTTAACATCAGGTGAGCCGCATGCTCGTCTCCTATAAAGAAATGCAAAGTCATCTGAGCGACTTACGTACGACATATTTGGGCGAATAATTCTTCACCACGTCAACCGATTTGAGTGATTACCGTTACTGTTACCGTTACAGACATTCAAGTCAACTGTTGAACATAAACCTTCCCCATAGATTGCTTCAAAATATTGCCATAGTTGTCACGCTTGGCAAGCGGGTTGGCAACGGTAGTTTTTTATTTAATCATTATTAGGAAGAAAAAGAGGTTTGTTTTTTTTTCAAAGAGAAAGAGGTTTGTAAGAATCGTGACACTTGGCGATCTGTTCTCTCTGGCTACCCCGTCAGGGATTGTGCGTGAAGATAAGTAAGTAAGTAAGTATTAGGAAGACGCTGCTGCCCATCTCTTGATTTGTTTCCCTCTGTCGCCTCTTACGACACCCACACGGTGATTTGGGGTAGTATATATTCTTACACCGCCACTACACTTACAATATTCTTAGTAGTGTCTCCCTAAGTCAGTTTTACTTCTTTAAAGGTAAATTATATTCATAAATGTACACCAAATACTTCATAAATGATTGAGAATATGTTTAGAGGCGAAGAAACGTTATACCGTACTTCCTCCGCAATGAGAAAATTGCATTTACGCACGTAATGTTGCAGCACTGCGTTCGTATGTAATTATGTTTATCGAAGATTATGTTTCCGATATGGTAAGAACATGCTTGGCTTACGAATTGTTAGCAGTCTTGGCGGTGTAAGGAAATCCCTCATAGTAAATAAACTGCAGATCTTGGGGTACAGTTAAAAGGAAAATTACTTTATGTTTCAATTAACCAGGTTGTTATTCAGGCTTATTTAGAATTTATTGTTGGTAAAGATGCAATAATAATTACTTTACGGTGTGTACACATTATATAACATAACATATTATAACACGTTGTTATATAACATGTTTCAGTAATGTGTATTCAGTAAATAAATCAGTAAACGTGTTATATAACGTGACACAAATGTTATATATCTCGAACGGCAGAACGGCAAACGACAATGTCATATGACAATGTCATAGGTATAACATTGTTATATTGCATTGTTATTCTAATGTGTACAGTATTGTTATATGTTGCAATGTTGAAAAACAATGTTGCATAATGTGGACGTGTTATAAAACAAAAGTTACACAACATGTTACTTAATCTGTACGCACCCTTAGATGAAATATTTAATTATTAAAATTCCAAACTATGCTAACAACTCGAGTACGATCCATGCTGGCACCTCAGAAGTTATTTTAACCGCCATAGAGGCCAAGACTTAATGCGGCAAAATTTTAAAGGACGACCTTTTTTTACAAAACCAATCGATTTTGAACTTATTGCTATGAATTTAAGATACAATGGTGTCACTTAATTCTAAACTCGCCAAACTTTTACGTTTGATGGCGAAAGGCGCTCTTTTACATAACCAATGGACCACCTTATTTACTACTAATATTGGACACAATAATATAATATAGTAATATATAAACCTATGACGTCTTGTTGTTATGGTAACTATATATATATATATTCTGCAAGGGCCTAAAAATTAAGATTCCAAGGTTTTTAAATATAATAGATGTAAAAAAAGATTTTGAAATTTCTTCTTCCTCAGCTGGCCAAACTTCACTGTTGGACATATGGTACGGTCCCGTTGTAGATAGGGTTTGTGTTAATCATCACGCTCGGGAGGCGGATTGATGATCGTGGTACCAGACGTCTCGCCTCTTTGACGTTACTTCTTGTCGCCGGCCTGGATATGTAGAGTTATACGGTAATATATCACAAGTCTTAAGGTATTTTTGGCGTAACCCACAGTTTTCACTCACAAAATCCTGGGGATAAAATGGGTTAATTGATTCCCTTACGCCACCGTCCCCCAGCTTCGACCTCGATCTCGATATTTTGACACAAAAAAAAACTGACAAATCTAATGTTGTTCTTCCATCAGATGTGCTTAACGGAGTGGATTAGGCTGCGTAACTACAAAGGCGGTCGCTGCCGCAACATCCTGGGCATGGAGATACCGGCGTGGCTTTGGGAGGCCTACAAAGTTGTCGGCGTGTTCCTCTTCGGCTGTGCCTGTCAGCAGCTGACCACCGACGTGGCCAAGTACGCCATAGGCAGGCTGAGACCGCATTTCTTCACTGTGAGTCTGCTTTTTTATTTAATATTACATGACCCGGCTGACATTGTTCTGTATTTTCCAGTAAGTGGCGCGATGTATTTCATTTCGAATTGGCTCATGATTTTTTTACAGTGTTATAATCTTTTTATAATAACTTGTCTACAGTTCCAACTAATGAGTTCAGATTTTGTGATTTTCTTTATTGGCAATGTGACTACAGCAAGATCTAAAGGATTCTAGAATAGCTATAAACCGGGGTCTCGTCAAAACTAATATATTCTGTGAATATAACTTTAATCGGTCAAGATTTTCAAAAGTTACACGATCTCTCACGGATGCACCAACGATTTATATATAATGAGGCTTATTATTTTGTGATTTTCTTTTTTGACAGTAAACCAACATAATATAAAAAATATGACTACAGCGTCATCTATAGGATCCTAGCATAGCTATTAAACGATTATTGTGTGAATATGACTACAATCGGTGAAGTTGTATAGAAGTTACACGATCACTGACAGATGCACCAACGATTTATATGTAATATGTAAAGATGTTTGTTATTTTGTATTATGTATGTGAGTCTTTATGGTCCATAAATATTGAATTTGTTAATACCTTGACTACACCGTCGCCTGTAGGATCCTAGCATAGCTCTGAACCGGCGGCGTCTCGGTAAAACAAATCAATATTGATGATTATGACTTCAATCGGTCAAGGACGAGGTAGGAGTGTCTTTCAGTGGTCTTCAGAAGTGCTACGCAAGTGATCTTCCATGGCTGAAGCAGCCACTTACCATTATATGAACCGTTAACTCGTTTATTTTATTCTCGTTTTGTGGTGGCATAAGAGAATCCATCATTTTAAGCCAATGAGTGTTATAAGAGGAGACTATGTTAAATGGCAGTCCCAGGTGGTGCGGTTTCTGTCCTGCCTAGTCTGGGTAGGTATCACCCTTTTCTACCGACTTCAAAAAGGTGCCGGTACTCAATTCAACTGTATGTTTTTTTTTGTGTTACATCATAACTTTTTACCAGGTGAACCGATTTCGATGATTCTTTTTTTATTTGAAAGCTGGTGCTTCACATGTGGTCCAATATAAGTTCGATCAAGGTCTGACCGATAGTTTTTGAGTTATTCTTAATAATTTATATCGAAGTCGGTCGTACAAAGTCTTTTATTTTAAATTATACCTAATTCTACCGCCAAGCAATCGAGCGTGGACTGCTGCGTTCCAGTATGAACGGTACAGAGATCAATAAGTAGAGTATAATTACCGGCTTATCTTAGTCCTCAATGGTGACAATGCATCTGTAACCTTTTGTTTGAAGTTGGTTACAGGTGTTCATGGCATGCAGTAGTGACTTATCATCAGATGAACTGAAGTTCGTTTACCACTTTTTGATCTCACACACTATAGATGGCGGCAATGCATAGCCATCTTGTTTACGCAACGGTAAACAGAGTCAAATGTGCGTGACGTCTGGTACTACGGTCGCCGATCTGTTTGCCATATTTGGCAACTAGGGCAAATATTATCTACAATAATGTCTCCTAAAGAAGAAGATTTTATGTATTCCGGAATGATTGCAATCATTTAAAATTATTAACCTGAAACAACTGAGGCATGGTAAATTTTAAGGTTATATTAGCGACACACCCCGGCTTCGCACGGGTGATTTCTAGATCTCGACAACAATGCCACCTACCGGGTCTAAATGTGAATCTAAACTATCTAGGGACTTATACGAACACACAAAAAATTCATCAAAATCAGTCGAGCCGTTTTTGAGTTTTAACGAGACTAACGAACAGCAATTGATTTTTATATATAGAGATTTACGTTAAACTACCTATTGCAGAGCTTGTCTAACCGTAGTTTGATAACTAAACGTCGGTTTGCTCAGTTAATTACCTCGGTACACGTTCTGATAGTACACCGTGGTAAATGTGGCACGTTGCACAATACGGCTGGCCCACTTGCCGAGTTTAACCGCGCGCAGTTCAGACACGTCGTATTCAACAAATTAACAAACATTCTACACTTTTTACTGCGTTCCACGCTGATTGCCGTGAATTAGATGTGATTTATAAGCGACACTTAATCAATTGGAATAATTGCTTTATTGTTTTTGCATTTCACTCAAAATCTAAGCGATTACGAATAGAGTTTAGTTTTGTAATTACGTGTAAATTACACTAGTGACAAACATTAAGTTAGTTTATGGGTTTTTAAGTCAATAGTGCAGCAGCGTAGCGAGCTCACATGTTAACAACATAGTGTTCTAATAGTCCACTGTCACAGTATAAATATATAGATTTATACTGTGCCACTGTTGAGTATGACACCAAATTTATTTTAATAGGAGTTTTTGTTATCGCCGCTCATAACCAACGGATTGGCAATTGCAGTCTCAAATCCTTCGTAACGAGTAAAGTACCTTAGCTTTTATACGGTTTCCTTTTATATTTATAGTTTTTTTTTTTACATTCATTGTTAAGCGGGTAGCAATAAAGATTTCTTATCTCAATATAATACACTATAAAATAAAATCTTTTAGTTCTTACATAACTTTTATTAAGCATAAAATGAAACAAGAATGTTATATTGTTGTTAATCTAACCGTGAGTTTGCGTCAAAAATGACCAACTTGTAATGTTTCGAAACAACCTTTATTGCTTGCGTTTAAACTCTAGGAAACTGTGCAAATTTTGGGAGATATTTTAAAATTTGTTGATGTTTGCGTTCGCACTAAATAAAACCTTATATAAAGTATGTTTGATAATGGGTCTGTCAAGCTTCGCGTTCACACTGTTGCTTGATTTGTCTCGCAGTTTGTTTTTATGCTTGTTTTTGTAGTTATCCAAAAAGGTTGGTTTACACAGTCAATACAAATACTTATATACTTGCTGAAAACAATTTCTATATCTATATAGCTGGTCAGGCAGACGTCGTACTGCCCTTTCCGACGAGCCTTTGTTCTATAAAAATCCCTAAATTTGCAATAAAAACTATTGATTGTCATATATAGAGGGGAAAAATCTCTCAAGTTGGACCAAACTGCACACGGTGTTCAAATTCATTAAAATCAGTTCAGTAGTTTAGTAGTTCATCGCGGCCAAACAATGTGACGCGTAATTTTTATATATAAAGATAAAAATAAATGTTTCTTTGTCCCGTATGTATTCCTATACCGTTTATCCAAATACGATGTCATTTAGTGAGTTATTGTGTGCGCGCTCGCGAAGGTTCTGACAAAAAAGGCATTGCAACGCATGCCCTGCACAGCTAGTTTAATAAAATTAAATACTAAGCACAGGTACAGACAGTATCAATTTTGTCTTATTTTCCTTTATAACTGGGACTACTTCTTGTTACCGCCGTAGTGAAAAATAGAATAAAGGTTTAAAGTAAATAATTTTATTCATGTTTATTATTATATCACCTTTGATAGCGATTGTATGTGCAAACAAATCTTTCAACTCGTTATCATGTCAACATATCATGTTAAATTTGTTTCAAAAATCTTTTGGTTCCCAGAACTTATGTAAAACATGCTTTGTTCTATGAAATAATAAACGTGTTTCACTTTAACATATTGTTTGACAGTGCAAACACGATACGATACATTGTCGAAAAACAGAAATGTAAACATGTTTTAATGTGAATGGTTTACCAGCGCAAGCTCACGTCAATGGTTTATGCCAGTTAGGATTTGTTTCGGAAAACACGTAAAGCTAATGGGTCTTGCGCCCAATCTTTCTCCGGTCTTGACGAATTGTCGTCCTATTAGTGTCCTAATGTGAGAGAATAGAAAGTGTACCACACAGACACACGTGCACTATAATCCTGTCCCGCTGATGATTAGTCTCCGTAGAGACTGGCCGCCGTGACCGAAGGGCGATCTGTAGGACATTATTTTATTAGAGACAAACAAGCTAACGGTCATACATCTTTAAAAGCTACAGAAGCATTATAACCTTTAAGAACTAAGCTATAATACCTCTTAGCCTGTGTCCTGGTGTTACCCCCCTAGGATTTGAGTTCTGTTTATTGAGAACGTTTTTATGCCATCTTGATCATCTACCTCGTCTTTTGAGACAATCACCTCACCTGCAACGCGTTTTGTATTAGAGAAAAGTAAAATACCAGCTTAATATTGCGGTATTTCTTATTGTGAACGTAGAAAACTGGTGATCTTTTTTTTACTAGAAACGAGGCATTCCTATATACACGTATAAGAAAGAAACCAAAGAAGATTGCGATTGAATAAACGGCAAATAGCTTTGATGTTTTTGCTTATTTTAACTGTTTGCATTGATGTCGGGGAGAGTCTTAAACTTATCACATAAATTGTCTTCAGAAATGCCTGATTCACGAAGTCAGGTCGGTACCAGGCCAGGCCAAAACGAAAATAAATGGACATGTAACGACCTCTAGGCTATGCGGCGAGAAGAAAACAGAAATAGACAGGCCGTCCGTCACGCGGCGCAATTTGCCGCCGTCAACGTAAGAAATAAATGTTCCTTTTAGATAACAATACGCAGGTGTATCGATGTTTGAATTGTAGTAGTTTTTTTGCAGAATAGGTGTAACAAACGAGCACACAGTCCACCAAATGGTGAGTGGATACTGTAACCCATAGACATCCATATCTATTCTCGATTTTTACAACAAAATCCCAGAAAATATAAACAATTTGACCTGCTCAAAGTTCAAAAACTTTATTAAACAAAGTTTGTATAAAAGGGTTATTATAATATTAAGGAATTTATGGATGATAATAACCCGTGGAATTCAGGTGATCACTACCAACCTATTTCTAATTTGTTCTGTGTGGTTAATTGTGTAACTGTAACATACATGATTGTAAGCTGTTATTTTAAAAAAAGTCCCGCTTGGTTTCTTGTTGGTTCTTCCCAGGACAGAGGTTTTTTTTTTCAAAAAAGAAAAAGAGTGACTTTCAATAAGTATTATTTATAATCTACATTGAATAAAAACGTTTATGTTTCTGTCT